GATTTTTTTATGGTGTATTCTCTTACTTCTAAATAAAAACTGCCTGGGAAGAAAGTTAACATTTGCTTTGAAGCAAGGGTTTACACAATTGTAAAAGGTTATCTCAGTTACGTGCGTCTTCCTAACATTAGTTGGTCAGGCAAACTTTCGGACAATTTTTCTGATTTCATTCGACTAACCAATGAAAGCCAAACAAATTCTAAGGAGACACTCGAAATTTATAATATGGAAGATAAGCGCACTTTTAATCCTGCAGAATTTGCCCAGTTTGACTCCGCAAAGCAGATGAATTATTTTAGACAGTCCCGAAAAAAAAATGAAAGCATTTCTCCAGCAGTTTCACATTTTCAAGTCCATTTTTTCAGTTTTTTCAAACTTTAATGTCCTGGCTATTGAAGTTGAGGATTCCGAAAGGCTGGCATTCCTCTGGGAATCAATAAAATCGCACGTAAATCACAAATCTGCCACGTATGTAAAAATAAATCACGCGTTATGAAACCGTTCATGCACTTTAATTGTTTCTGAAAGTCTCGAAATTTGTGTTCCCCTCTTCTCAGCCAAGGGTTTCTCTCCGTTTAAGCTTTCCAATGGTCGATGATCAATCATGAAATGCACTCAGTCCAACATCCGGGGGATCTATTTAATTCGAATCATTTTTTAGAAAAACGAAATACAGTACCTTACAATTTGTATGAGTTACTGGCCTTTTTAAAATGATCGACGTGGTTTATATTTTGTCACGGTTCTTCATTTATCGTTGAACAGTGAGATCCTGGTTCCCAGAAAATTTTCCAACCGGAGAAAACTTGTCCGATTCGTCGAAAAATCTCTCAGAAAATGCTCCAGTCTTCTAAGTTTTAGTCTTGGCATATGACCAGGTAGACCCAGCATGTGTTCTTTCGCTGTTGATCTAAGGTTGAGGCTGATCACACCTGGCGAACCCAACTAGAATGCTCCGTTTATTTTTCACAATTTTAACGTTCTGACGTTGCGAAAACCCGGTTTTTTGATGATTGACGACTTGCTAGCATCGCGAGGCATCAGTTAAAAAAAAAGAGAAGGAACGTGGATTTAGTTGCGCCAAGGCAATTCAAACGAAGACCACACCTGTCATCCCATGTTTTTGACTGACGGAAAAGCAAGAATTTCGATCTGAATTGAACTGAAGCCCAGATCTTTGAAGTGAATACTGTAGCTTCTTTTTCACATTGGGAATGCATGCAGGTCTTCTCCCTATAACTTTTTGATGGATCTTCATAGTGTAGGAGGGTTCTAACCAAAGTTCTTGGAGTAGCAATGAAAATGGCTTACAGTTGAGCTGAAAAGCATTTTTTCTTTAGGGAAAATATATTCTTTGGCACACAAAAAATATCAGTCCTGTTTTACAAATTTCTTTGAATTTTTTTGATAATTCACCCTGGCAGAGTTTTGCTCTCCACTCAAAAGATGAGGCGCCCTTTTTTGTTGTAGCCCAGCTTTCCCCTCAGAATTTTTGAAATCAACTTGACATTCTTTCTAAGGGTTGCCTTCAGGTCATCCAAGGCAATTCCGCCATTTTCATCAAAAGCCGCCTTCACAGCCGCCACATTGGCTGCCACTTTGGCCTCATCTTTTGAGTGGAGAGCAAAACAGGGTGAATTATGAAAAAAAATTCAAAGAAATTCGTCAAACAGGACTGATATTTTTTGTGTGCCAAAGAATATATTTTCCCTAAAGAAAAAAGTTTTTCAGCTCAACTGTAAGCCATTTTCATTGCTACTCCGAGAACTTTTGTTAGAACCCTCGTGTATAGCGTTTCTTTGTCGTTATTTTGGGCGAGATTTTTGTCAATTATGTTGGCTGGAACTCATGGAATTTTTGTGCGCGTGAATTCGTGGGGACGAGAACAATCCCGAATCACCTCCGTATCAGAGGAGATCATGTATGGCCACTGCCATCGTTATTGTCGACAGAACCCTATACATATTTTTTTTATGGGTTCAAAAGTGAAAGAATGATGGCTATAAGGCCTCCCGTAACCACCATTTTAATTTGTATGTGCATGCAAGACATTCGGGGACGATCATCTTCATTTAGTTGTGTATGAGATCCTGAGAAGATGAAAGATAGTTTTTTTATAAATGCGCTGATGAGGTTGATAATCTTGCAAAAGAGGAACTTTAAGGCCGGGAATCCATTTTGTGGGTTTTCAATACGGTCCATACTTTGAGAGCAAAATTTGATTGCTGGATGCCTAATGCTCAATACGCAAGCGATCCTTTCAAGTTTTGATAACTTTCGAAAGAGTTTCACCGAAAATTTAATTGAGTCTGAAGAAAAAATATCCAAACTATGAGGTAGTAAATTCGATGCAGTGAATTCCATGATGATTACTGCTGTATTATTGGAAAAGAAGACGTTTTGCTGTATCATCATTATTTAACAATTGTTTCAACTCCAAATTTCTCACGCCAAACAAATCTATCACGTTTCAATTTCTGTGTTGTATGCTTCAATGTTTTACATTTAATACGGTACGAAGAAGCTTTGGTACCCTCAAGTATATGATGAAGTGTACGCATAAAAAAGTTATTTCTAGTGCAATCAATTAAAGTCTTCCAAATGTACTTGTACCGATTTTCTGCATCAAATTTGCCTACACTCCAGTGAACTGTGTATGTCAGTTATTTTAGGAGGAAATACATTTGTTGAATTGATCCGCAATAAATGGTGCCAAAAGAACACAAATAAATGGAAAATGTACTGCATTTTCGTTTTAAACGAGCTCTTGTCTTCATCCCGCTTCTAGTCTTCTTCGGTTAGTAAAACTTTCAGTAAGGCTACTAAAGCAGCTTTGAAAAAAAACTGACAAGACGGGTTAAACAAGGTGAAGAGGCGAGGTTGAGAGTTTAAAAAGGAGATCATGAATATTCGGACCGTATTTACTCCAGTAGCACGTGTCGATCCCCGAGTATAAGAAGGGCACCCAGGTTTTTCAGTCTAAAACTTTATTAAATTTTTATCCCCGAGTGAGACGCGCACACCATTTTTAGTGACGCTGAAATATCAATATTTTTAAAATAATAGCACCCAAATCTGAATTTAGATGAGAATTCAACCAAGTTTCATTTGTTTCCCTATAAATGCGTTTTTCTGATTAAATTTATCTAAATTTCAAATTATTGTCATCCCAAGATTCAATTGAGTTTCCTACAGTATGTTTACAATACTCATTTGCCGTGGTATTTTCCGTTGACATACTTTTACTTTGTCTGCGAATGCAATAGTCTTTAATGGTACTTGGTGGTCAGCTGCCTTGTGCCTGTTCCAGTTTACTTTCAGTTCACTACTGGTCATTCACCTATTGTTGTGTGAATCTATAAAGGTGTGTCCAAGCACATCTTTGGTATTCAATGTCTGTCTGGCACTTGCTGCAAGAGGTTTGGTGTATGAAATACATATCATTGCACAATTAAGAGAAGTAACTTTTTTTATGTCACCTGGGCTTTAGAGTCAATTACTTCTCTATCTACTGTATTTAATTGAGTACCACATGTCCCTGAGTAAGGAGGGCAGAGGGGTTTTTCAGTTGAAAATTNTGTACTGCATTTTCGTTTTAAACGAGCTCTTCAGAAGTAGGGCGAAGATCAGAAGAAGCCAATCATTTTGAAAATCATTCCGATGATTTCGTCGAAACTTTTTTTGACTGTTCTGCCCAATTTGTTCCACTTCTCCGCTCCAACTCTCAAATTTTTCCAGATCATGAATATTCGGACCGTATTTACTCCAGTAGCACGTGTCGATCCCCGAGTATAAGAAGGGCACCCAGGTTTTTCAGTCTAAAATTTTATTAAATTTTTATCCCCGAGTGAGACGCGCACACCATTTTTAGTGACGCTGAAATATCAATATTTTTAAAATAATAGCACCCAAATCTGAATTTAGATGAGAATTCAACCAAGTTTCAATTGTTTCCCTATAAATGCGTTTTTCTGATTAAATTTATCTAAATTTCAAATTATTGTCATCCTAAGATTCAATTGAGTGTCCTACAGTATGTTTACAATACTCATGTGGTACAATACAATACTGCTGTGGTATTTTCCATTGACATACTTTTACTTTGTCTGCGAACGCAATGGTCTGTAATGGTACTTGGTGGTCAGCTGCCTTGTGCCTGTTCCAGTTTACTTTCAGTTCACAACTGGTCATTCACGTATTGTTGTGTGAATCTATAAAGGTGTGTCCAAGCACATCTTTGGTATTCAATGTCTGTCTGGCACTTGCTGCAAGAGGTTTGGTGTATGAAATACATATTATTGCACGATTAAGAGAAGTAACTTTTTTTATGTCACCTGGGCTTTAGAGTCAATTACTTCTCTATCTACTGTATTTAATTGAGTACCACATGTCCCTGAGTAAGGAGGGCAGAGGGGTTTTTCAGTTGAAAATTGTGCAAAAATGGTATCCTTGAGTAAGTCGTGTACCCCAATTTTTAGTGAATCTAAAACCATAAAATTTCAAAAATAAAAACCAAAAATTTGACTTTAGGCGTGAATTGAACAAAAATCTGATCAATTTTCAACTTTTTCAATACAAAAATGTTTTCTTGTTAAATTTGTTCAAAATTTCTTCATTATAATTAAGTATAATGCATACATAACTTCCTAAAACTTCTTTAAAATTTTTCACCCCCTTATGACACGCACCCCTTTTTTTCTTCTGAAATTTGGGAAAAGAGGTGCCCATGGTATCAAGTAAATACGGTAGTATGGGTAATGTCAAAGCAGTTTTGCATCTTCCTGCAAGAAAGATGTTTGATGAATTAGATTCCTTCTGATCAACTTGGAGGACTTGAGGTAATATTATAATAGTATTTGATGTACATCTAACCATCAGAAACTTTCAAGAAAAATTATGTCTTCTTTTATGAGCGCACCCCCTGTACTGGAGTAAATACGGTACTACCATGTATGATACCATCTTATTTCTCGTTTTTTTTCCTTCCTGCTTCGCAATAGCCTGGCTGTGTGAATACGACCGAGTTGGACATCAAAAAGGCGTGTCGGATGAACAAGCCCAGCCTGAGCAAATGGGCCGCCATGGTGTCTGGTAATAATCCCGACCAACAAGGTTAGTGGTGCTTCATGGGTGACCATTTTTCGTCCGGATACCGGAACCGACATTGGATTCATTGACTCGGCTTATTCAGGTCTTGGAAACATGCCAATAACCGGAACATTAAATCGAAGGGTTCCCTTCAATCGATGGGCCCAATTTATTCTTGGGATCCTCTAATGAAGGATTTATTGAAGATTTTATGATTCCATCATTCTCATGATCCCTGAGACGCAATTTCTGAAATAGAGTATGCTTACAATAAGTGTACCTCGATATCCGAGATACTGTATTACTTCACTGATTGTCTTGAAAATCCGGGCCATGAGGAGTATATAATCCAGATGGGATCTATGAATTACATTTCTGGAACAATCGTCAAATGTAAATAACAGAAAAGAATAAAAAAGCGTTTACAATGCGAAGGAAATATAAAAAAACATAGAGATAATACATCATGTTCATACCAGGAAAAAGTCTAGTGAAGACATTGTAGTTGAAAGCAGTATTTAATCTAAATGGTATCCCGTGAATCTTATTTTTTTCAACGAGCGTCAAATGTAACTAACAGGAAAGACTAAAATAGCCTTCGCATTACAGAGAAAATAGCAAAACAAAAATTGAGAAAATACAACCGGTCCATGCTAGAAAGTCTTCGGAAGAAATTGAAATTGAAAGCAGCAGTAAACACATTCAGTATTAGTAGGAAACGTTCGAAGAACTAATTTTAGTCTCAATAAACTCGCATGTCACTCGAATTTCGCGTGAAAGTATTGATTCAAACACAAGTTTTCTGACAACAAACTTCCCAAATAACAGTACCTGTTAACTGCTCAGATGAGACTAATTGAAAGTTGGGAAAATGGCTGCGAAATTAAAAGTTTCAGGAAGTACCAGAACCAGTGCTGTCGAAAGGTTCCACCAATCCAAACATCTCCAGGAGGAATTTCCTTTCAAAATATCGAAAGTTGATGCAAAAATAACTTGCAATAATTTAATTGAACTTCACCTCTGATCATCTTCCGATTTGTTACACCCAAAATATTATTTTCCATGACCCTCTGCCAATAAAACATTTTTCTAATTCACATTTAATGTAAAGTATACTCTGAAGTACTGTAGATCCATACAGCATATGCAAAATCTCGGACAGTCACTTTTCTGGCAACAGTTGAATTTTGATTGAATAGTAAATTATGCAAAATCTCGGGCATTTACTTTTCTGGCAACAGTTGAATTTTGATTGAATAGTAAATTATGCAAAATCTCGGACAGTTACTTTTCTGGCAACAGTTGCATTTTGATTGAACAATAAATTAATCAGATTTAGACGACACAATTTTCAGTTACAAAGGTGTGCATATAGATTGAAATATTTTAAATAGTCCTCTTATGAAATAGATTCTACCAGAAACATATCATCACTATTGCGTACGTAACACAAAAATACATTGCTGAACGAAGAACGCAATTCAAAAATGTTTTCTCGAGTCAAAAGGGTTGAGAAACTCTTCAAGATACCGTCTACATGCTCCTGAATGCTTTCATCAAAATATTATCAAAGACCTTCCGAAAACTGCTCTGCGATGCTTGGGATCCATTTTTTCAGCAAGAAAACCCCCTCCATAAAAAAATACAGTCGTGAATATTTCCAAAAGCGATGCTCACTTGACATGCATAGAATAATATCGTGTCGCAATGCGACGGATATATCGAATGTCACTATTATTGTCGCCATCAGAATCGGGAGTCAAACCCAGCTCTGGTGCCGATGCAGTGACAGGGGCGACGTTAAGAGATCCCGCTGTTGCCGACAAGGCGTCGACGTCAAAGGGATCATCAAACCCTGGTCGCGTCGGATCGACGGGAGCATCGTCGAGTGACGCGAATGCTTCGAACCCGACAGAGGAAACCGCCAAGCCGGAAGAAAAGCCCGAGGACCAGTCGAAAAAGGAGCAGTACACTAGGGAGATGGCCGTGGAATATCACAAGCAAGAAATAAAGCTTCTGCAGAAGAAGTTGGAACGGCTGAATCTGAAATTCGACAAGGCTTCGGAATCGTGAGTCTATCGTTCCTCGAACACGTCTCTTGTCGCTTCGGGAAGTTCTCACAGATTCGTTTGGACTTTGAAAAGAATTCAATTAATTCATGTGGGATTGTGATGACGCTACTTCTACATCATTCAATTTAATTTAATGATGGCTAGTTACCTCGACAAGTTCGAAGAGCTGCTGACGATATTATCGGCGGACACCTTTGACCCCATACTCCGAGGAACATGAAGCACGATTTTGACAACATTCCCCCGAAATATGATCTTCTGTGTCAGTTTCCGGCGCATAATCACTCCATGAATATAAATCTGACGGACTGATAAATTGACAACTTTCCACTACGCGACTGAACTGAAAATAGCCTTCTTCTATTGATGACATAATACAGTTGACCCTCTCTAAGTCAAATGTAATGGGCCAGCAAAAGATTTGCATTGGGGAAGTCTCAAGTTAGGGTAACAAGCATTTTTGCTGTGGGAAGCGTAAAATACCATATTTACTCAAGTACCACGTGCCCTCAAGTAATGCACGCACCCCCAATTTTCTGGCTGTAAATTGGCCAAAAAGTTAACCCCATTTATGACGCGCACCCCAGTTTTTGCTGGCTAAAATATATTTTTGAAAAAAATGTTACAACTAAAAATTGAATGAGCTAGCAGAAATATTTTTAATTCAGACACTTCATTACTTTCAGCAAAATTTTCACAATATTTCACTGTGCAATTAAAATACTGTAATCCCACTGCTGCAAGTGGCCAGAATGCTGATGAATATTCCTGAGATAAAAAAAATCTTCCAAAAGCAAAACGTCCTTTACTTCTGGTCACATCTCAGATACAATTTTTGTACTATTCCATGAAAATTGTCCTGCTTGAAAGTAATACAGTGGCCCCCCGCCTAACAGACCTCCCATGTGAAGGATTTTTGCCAAACAGACCAGCTCTGCAAGCAGTTTTTCCTCCCACCCAACAGACAAAATCCTCCAAACAGACTTCTTTTGGTTTAAAATTTCGGCGGACACCTTTGACCCCATACTCCGAGGAACATGAAGCACGATTTTGACAACATTCCCCCGAAATATGATCTTCTGTGTCAGTTTCCGGCGCATAATCACTCCATGAATATAAATCTGACGGATTGATAAATTGACAACTTTCCACTACGCGACTGAACTGAAAATAGCTTCTTCTATTGATGACATAATACAGTTGACCCTCTCTAAGTCAAATGTAATGGGCCAGCAAAAGATTTGCCTTGGGGAAGTCTCAAGTTGGGGTAACAAGCATTTTTGCTGTGGGAAGCGTAAAATACCATATTTACTCAAGTACCACACGCCCTCAAATAAGGCACGAACCCCCAATTTCTGGCTGTAAATTGGCCATAAAGTTATCCCCGTGTATGACACGCACCCCAGTTTTTGCTGGCTAAAATATATTTTTGGAAAAAATTTTACAACTAGAAATTGAATGAACTAGCAGAAATATTTTTAATTCAGATACTTTCTTCATTACTTTCAGAAAAATATTCCCAATATTTCACTGTGCAATTGAAATACTGCAATCCCACTGCTGCAAGTGGCCAGAATGCGGATCAATATTCCTGAGAAAAAAATCTCCCAAAAGCAAAACATCCTTTACTTCTGGTCACATCTCAGATACAATTTTTGTATTATTCCATGAAAATTGTCTTGCTTGAAAGAAATATTCCTAAATGGCTATCCCTTCAGCGATTATTCCCTCATACACAATGAGACTGGGCACCATGCATTTCTTCTTGAATATTTTGTAATCTACTGTACTTGCATATGACCCGCATAGGGTTTTCCAAAAATGTTGATCAAAATTGTATCCCTGGGTACCCTGCGCACCCTTTTTTTCTGGCTTGAATCCTGGAAAAAGGGTAATCTGGTACTTGAGTAAATACAGTAATTGCTAGAATTATAAATGGTGAAATGTCAGTCCTTGAATTGCGTCGTAAATTAGTTTACAGCATGCTGAACTTGAAGACAGGGGTTCATCTGCACACTTGATCTTTCCAAAACACTTCATCAAGTTAATTTTTTATTTATATCCTCTTTCCCATGTAAAGAAAATAATAGCCCAAAGGCCTCGGAAAATTCGAGTGGCGGAGGTTTCAAAGGAAAAGGTCTTGAGTCAGGGAGGTTTTTAATGCTTTGTCCCAAGGGAAGTCAGACGGAGACTTGAAAAATAATTGACGTAGGGAGATTCCAGTTATCCAAGTTCAAGTGTAATTGCTACCTGGAGAGAAACCTCGAGTGGAATGTCAACGAAAGCTTTCCGGATCTCGTCATTAACTTTCAGATTTCCCGAATTTCCACTTGCCACCACTATTAATATCTCTATAAGCTATACAGTATATGCTTCGTTGAAAAAGGAAAGTAATAATAAGATGCCAGGTCAACATTTGCTAATCCCGAATTTTCACTCGCAAGGGAAGAATTAAAAAGATATAATCAAATGAAAGGAAAACCTCTCGGGCATTCCTGTAAAATACGGTCAATACGAACCTAACCATGGCTAAAAGAGCAAGGAAAAGTCGGCTGAGAAATTAATTGACGAAAAACCCGATGATAAACTCCCTGCTGATCAGACACCATCAGCCAAGATTTCTGATAAATTTTCGAATTTTGAAGGAAACTAGCGCTTAGTTCTTCGAAAAGAGATGCAACCACGCAGATCTATTCCAAGCAGCACTTCCCCGTTTTTTTTATTCCTCCCCGAAATTTCGCTGGAGGGAACCTTCGCCGGAGGCAAGGGGTTGCTGAAGATGCTGGGTTCCTTCGCCCACTGATTCGAACTATACCCTATTGAAGTCACAGGGATGTGGGGGGGAGAGGGGAGCTGGAATTCGTGGGCGAGATAATAATCGAGCACAGGTTGGCAGGGCTGGTCGTCCTCGTCGTCGCTGCTGCTGTTGCGGAAAATCGGTGATTTTCCCTTTTTCCTCGACGCTCTCCCATCGTGAATATTTCACGGGTTGCCCCAGATTACGTCGTCTTTGCGGGATCGTGCGCTATCCCGATCCCGCCGGGCTAATTCCATTTCCGGCGAGCCCGCGAGAGGAGCGCGCGGAATGCCCGACGCAGCGGTTTCCTCTCCGCGGCGGGGAATTTGTGTTTCCGGTACTTCGGCACGTCGCCGCCTCACTTGTGGACGGCGGGGGCTGCTGCTGCATGCTGCAACCCCCGGGTGCGAACCCATTATCGGCCTGACGAGCTGCCTCTTTCCCGAAACAGTACATCTCGACGCCCTGAGTGATGCCCTGCCGCGGAATGATTGGGACGGGCACGGGGTATCTCTTCGCGGCCGGAAACGGGTCTCCGGGTACGGTACAGTACAATGACTGCATTCCAACAGATTGCGAGACTCGCGACAGGAAACAGAGTTTTCAGAGTAAGAGCCATTGTTGAAAAACAAATTTTGAGATAAACCATTGTTGTCCGTAGACCAAGGAAATAAAATGTGAACTTCGAATATATAAAATACTTGCAATATATTCAATCCACAAATATTGATATTTGCGCAATCATACAAACATAAATAAAAATTAAGAGTTTCAAAGAGAGTCTTGCTAAATTGTTTTGCAAGTCTCTCTGAGAAATCACTGCAATAAGCTCTAGATTAATTCTGAGGAAATATGTTGGACAGAAGGTATATTATGCCTTCCTGGAAACATAAAATAGAAAGGCCAGATATTCGCCTAGAATTGGGAACTGCAGGTTCCATGAACACTTCTGATGGAAATATATACATCAGGGTATATATTCAATTAGTATACAAATATATATATACATATAAACCAATCCTTCTAAATCAGCGATTTAGAAGGGAGAAACAGTGAGGGTTGTTTGTCACTGTCATAAAGCAGCAAATTGTAAAACAGAATGAGCATAAATGAGCATAATGCTTTAATGCGGGACAATGCAAGTAGGGGGAGAACAAAAACAAGGAAACAGCTGCAAGGAACAGGAGACCTTGCTGAAAAGATTCTCCTCCCATATAAGGAGAGAGAAAAGAATATAACCCAATTTGGTTTCTGGGTTACACCATGATGTTCTCAGCCACAGTATTCCCCAACCGGGGGTCTGCAGACTGGCGCTGGTCCTCAGAAGTTTTTTGCTTGTCCATGGGAAATTTACTTCATCATAACAAATTTATTAAAAGTAGCAATTAAGTCTGTTATGTTTGCCTGAAAGTTTGGAAAGACAATGGCAGCTGAAATTATTTTACGTAAAAAAAACTTGGATTTTCTCCTCATAACACTTCAGACAAATTCTCACCAGCTGAAATGGATTATATTTTATTTTTTATTTTGAAAAAACCTTTTGTGAAGCCCACCTTTCTAATTTTTGAACACATTCCTCTTTAGCTGCTTGATTGATTCTCAACTTGATTTTTGCTAAATGCAGAACCTTTTTAAATACCTGCAATGAAGTCTTTCAATCAAAACCTTTTTGAGTCTGCAAACATTTTATGAAACTTCGCCAGTCCACAGAGAATATTACAAAATTTGCAGGTCTGCAAGCCCAGGTTGGGGACACTGTTCTAAGGTTCTCTGATTTCTTTTTGGATTTTTAAAAACATTTTTCAATTTATTACATGATGATGATTGAAAACTTCCCAGTTACTGCCAGAGTTCTCCACCCATGACAAAGGGTGTTCAAATTCAATTTCTTAGCTTGAAGAATATTTTTGTTATTTGAACCTGCTATCTAAAATGTTAAAAAGATTATCAGGAAAAAAACGAACAATTTTAATAATATGGCTGGCGTAACAGGTTTTTTTCGAATTTTCCCTATAAGTGGAGAACTTTGGCTATAAGTTGATAGATTTCATTGATTGTCATGCCTTGAATTGAAAACGTTTTAAAAATCCGTGGGGGGGGGGGGGGGATCCCAGAACCTTAGAACATCATGGGCTATGTAATTTTTTTTTACAATGCCTTGATTTTCTCACAATCACACGCACGCCAAAAAATATCGGAGGTCACGTCCAACTGGGACAGTCCTCGTATGGTCTGATGTTTTGAATTCTCACGCGAAACGTGCGAAACTCGCGCGCGAATGCAGGAATGCCGAGAATGTACGCGTAGCATTCCTGAAAACAAAAACTCTTCCTGTATCCGTTATGCGCCAGTTTCCCTCCCAAGAGTTACGGTATCTCACTACGTACTCTTATATGATGAGAAAAGTTTTGCCTTGGACTTGGAAGTGGCTTATGAACCAAGAGCGTGTTCTCTAACGAAAGCTTGAACATCGGAGGTCGTTTCTTCGTAAATTTTAATGCACTATTTTGGTTCACGCGTGTTTGTGGTGCTGTATTTCCAAAGTAGCCTTTTTTTTATATCAACATTACTTTTTCAGCTTTGCAGTCACCGCGAGGCTTTATTATAAATTTTGAAATGACGAGAGCCTATTCGCAAGAATCGCATGGATTTAAACTTTATTCAATTGGAACCTTTTAGCTCAAAATTCCTTGGGTCAGAAACTGATTAATTTTGAATTATTGCTTAGTTCGTGTCTGAATCCGATCCGGAACAATGTACTTTACTGTTGAACTTTCCAACTCAGGCTTTCCCTCTCCAACATCCATAACCCAAATTTCTGTAGGCATTTGCTATTATATTCTGTGGACCCAGAATGGATAAGAGCAACAAAAATGTAAATTAATGCTTTTCAACAGGACGTGCGTGACTAATTATAGAATGTACCCTTGCTTGCCAGTCTAGCATAATTTCAACTCATTTATCCAGCAGTTCAAGGTCCAGAGTATCACCGATTTCACATTCCTGTAATTCTCAATTTCTTAATAGCAAGAACGCTCGTTTCCCTAACCCAAAAACTTGAGAAGGGAAGAGATTTCGCGAGTCCCAGAATTTTCAAAAATGGGGACGCTCANCGACGCCCTGAGTGATGCCCTGCCGCGGAATGATTGGGACGGGCACGGGGTATCTCTTCGCGGCCGGAAACGGGTCTCCGGGTACGGTACAGTACAATGACTGCATTCCAACAGATTGCGAGACTCGCGACAGGAAACAGAGTTTTCAGAGTAAGAGCCATTGTTGAAAAACAAATTTTGAGATAAACCATTGTTGTCCGTAGACCAAGGAAATAAAATGTGAACTTCGAATATATAAAATACTTGTAATAGATATTTGCACAATCATACAAACATAAATAAAAATTGAGAGTTTCAAAGAGAGTCTTGCTTAATTGTTTTGCAAGTCTCTCGGAGAAATAACTGCAATAAGCTCTAGATTATTTCTGTTGGAAGGAAGGTATATTTATGCCTTCCTGGAAATATAAAATTGAGAGGCAAGGTATTTGCCTAGAATTGGGAACTGCGGGTTCCATAAGCACTTCTGACAGAAATATATACATCCAGGTATATATTCAATTTGTATACAAATTAATACACAAGGTAGCTCAGAGAACCATTCCTTCTAATTCAGCAATTTAGTAGGGAGAAACAGTGAGGGTTGTTTGTCACTGTCATAAAGCAGCAAATTGTAAAACAGAATGAGCATAAATGAGTGTCATGCATTAATGCAAGACAACGCAAGTAGGGGAGAATCAAAACAAGGAAACAGCTGCAAGGAACAGGAGACCTTGCTGAAAAGATTCTCCTCCCATATAAGGAGAGAGAAAAAAAATAACCCAATTTGGTTTCTGGGTTACACCATGATGTTCTCAGCCACAGTATTCCCCAACCGGTGGTCTGCAGACTGGCGCTGGTCCTCAGAAGTTTTTTGCTTGTCCATGGGAAATTTACTTCATCATAACAAATTTATTAAAAGTAGCAATTAAGTCTGTTATGTTTGCCTGAAAGCTTGGAAAGACAATGGCAGCTGAAATTATTTGACGTAAAATAAAAACTTGGATTTTCTCCTCAGAACACTTCAGACAAATTCTCACCAGCTGAAATGGATTATATTTTATTTTTTATTTTGAAAAAACCTTTTGTGAAGTCCACCTTTCTAATTTTTGAACACATTCCTCTTTAGCTGCCCCAGAACCTTTAGCTGTCCCAGAACCTTAGAACATCATGGGCTATGTAATTTTTTTTTACAATGTCTTGATTTTCTCACAATCACACCTACGCCAAAAAATATCGGAGGTCACGTCCAACTGCGACAGTCCTCCTATGGTCTGATGTTTTGAATTCTCACGCGAAACGTGCGAAACTCGCGCGCGAATGCAGGAATGCCGAGAATGTACGCGTAACATTCCTGAAAACAAAAACTCTTCCTGAATCCGTTATGCGCCAGTTTCCCTCCCAAGAGTTAGGGTATCTCACTACGTACTCTTATATGATGAGAAAAGTTTTGCCTTGGACTTGGAAGTGGCTTATGAACCAAGAGCGTGTTCTCTAACGAAAGCTTGAACATCGGAGGTCGTTTCTTCGTAAATTTTATGGTATCTCACTACGTACTCTTATATGATGAGAAAAGTTTTGCCTTGGACTTGGAAGTGGCTTATGAACCAAGAGCGTGTTCTCTAACGAAAGCTTGAACATCGGAGGTCGTTTCTTCGTAAATTTTAATGCACTATTTTGGTTCACGCGTGTTTGTGGTGCTGTATTTCCAAAGTAGCCTTTTTTTTATATCAACATTACTTTTTCAGCTTTGCAGTCACCGCGAGGCTTTATTATAAATTTTGAAATGACGAGAGCCTATTCGCAAGAATCGCATGGATTTAAACTTTATTCAATTGGAACCTTTTAGCTCAAAATTCCTTGGGTCAGAAACTGATTAATTTTGAATTATTGCTTAGTTCGTGTCTGAATCCGATCCGGAACAATGTACTTTACTGTTGAACTTTCCAACTCAGGCTTTCCCTCTCCAACATCCATAACCCAAATTTCTGTAGGCATTTGCTATTATATTCTGTGGACCCAGAATGGATAAGAGCAACAAAAATGTAAATTAATGCTTTTCAACAGGACGTGCGTGACTAATTATAGAATGTACCCTTGCTTGCCAGTCTAGCATAATTTCAACTCATTTATCCAGCAGTTCAAGGTCCAGAGTATCACCGATTTCACATTCCTGTAATTCTCAATTTCTTAATAGCAAGAACGCTCGTTTCCCTAACCCAAAAACTTGAGAAGGGAAGAGATTTCGCGAGTCCCAGAATTTTCAAAAATGGGGACGCTCACCCACAATAATTACCTCCCGACTATAATTTATTCAGCTGCTGAAACATATTAATTAGTCTCTGTGGATTTTTTTGGTCATTTTAATGCGTTTTTTATGTTTGCATAACCAGTACCATTTTGCCGAGTGCCGCTTTGTCGGTAAATTTTCGCTTTGAGGTTTATGATATTGTTATCTTGAAGATTTGAAAAAGACTGTTTTACAAAATATAGGTTTATTATCGGATATATGGGACAAAATCACACAGAAGGCAATAACAGTAGAAAAGAAACTTTGTCCAGTCGAAGTTTTGAGACTAATTCAACTGCGGACAATTCAACATACGGACACTTATTTTATCATTAAAAATTGAGAAAAAAAAGGCCCAACATGAGGACACTGAGTCAATGTAGGGACATTTTCTGTTAAAATTGCAGCAAATACATTTCAGGCCAAATTACAAAAAACAGATATTTCCAACCCTAAAATTGATGTAAGAAAAGTTCTTTGGCATTTCTCTCACCAATTTACCATCCATTTTGCTAATTTAAAAAATTACCTCCTGCATAGAGGGACTTCCATCTCTCTTTTTCACTTGAATATTTTTTAAAACAGGGAATGCCAACATTTCTATGTACTGTACAGAGATATCAGTATTAAATTCCCTGAATACCCATATTGTCTTGAAATATATTGATTGGAATCAGTTAAAATTGGGAGACAATTTTTATTTTCATGGAATTATGGTGAGTATTTTGTACATAAAACACCAATTCAAAATTATACTATGTAAGTCTAAGGGAAAATTAGACTCAACTTAGGGACATTTCAACTTGGGGACACTCTTGATGCACCAATTACGTCCGCATCTCGGGGTCTCACTGCAAAGTTGTGGGAGAACCAATATGTTTATCTTTTCACGCCAGAGAAAAGATAGGCATGTTTCTCTGCTTCACAACTGTCGAGTCTCTATAGAACACACAATTTTGGCCACCCACAAATGTGGGTCAGTAAAAACGACAACAACTTTTTGGATTAGCCACGAAGTACCGCGAAAATTCTCAAGGCTGCAATATCCAGAAGAGTCTGTGCAAACTATGTTGCGTGAATGGATAATACAGCTTTATCCATATCATCATTGACGAAATGTGCGGAAAACCTTTTTCCACTGATTATCATTTTCTTTATTATGCGTGATGCGATAGTGCGATATCCGTTTGAGTGCACTCCTCTGATGCTAAACAATATTTTGTTGCTGGAAAATAATCCCGATGAAATGTCGGAATCAGTATGTACTCATTTAATCCGGATGAATTTTAAGCCTGGCGAAATCTTGCGAAGTTCCTACCCACAAAAGCTGACAACGAGCAATCGAAAGTCATTCAATTTTAAATTAGAGAATTTAGCTGCGAGATTCGGTGGTTGTCGATCACGCATCATCACGATCTTTTGAGATCCTCTCGGGGGATCTTCTACGGAAAGACGTGTCCTTTTTACGTCTTATTTACAAGATTTTTCCCCCGATATTGTGATTACGAATGATGTAAAAGTTGTATCGCAATCCCGGCTTGAAAAACACTCATTTCCGCCTGTTGACACATGAATAAGGAACTGTCAAAAAAAATTCAAAATGTTTCCTCTCTCTTCAAGAAATAATGGAGAGGATTTTAATGTATTTTGTGTAAAACGCTTGATCAGAACTGCGGTGAAATATTTTTTTCACCTCGACTGTTCCTTTAGACGCTTTTTCATGCCATGTAAAATATTAATGCCACGGTTTTCTGATGAGGTGCCATGAGTGAAATTTTTTAGATTCTAATGATATTTTGAAAATGATAAATTTATTATGAACTCGATGTGAATGTTTGCTTTCCCTGTGCCAAGTTCTCGCCCGATAAAATCTTGAGTAGTTGGTGGTAAACGTTCTTTGATCCTTCCCCTTTTTATTCATGAGATGATTAATGAGGAGGAACTTCAAATTTGGATCATGGTAAACAGGTTTTTGTTAATGACAGATTGTAGGTTTGCCTCTGGTGGTAAACCTGAAGTGGGAATGCTGTGCGAGTATCTTGGAGAGTTCGTGGGCCACTTGCATTGACATCGTCGCCTTTTCTATCAGATGGATAGACTGGGAAAACTTGGGGCACAAACTTGTGCCTTCAATCATTTTGTTCTATGGGGCTGAACGTAAACATGACTTTCTAGGGTTTCATTTTCGGGCCCTGAGGAAAGTTCATGTCAGAAACGGCTCGGAAAGCTCAATGGTATTATCGACCGCAATCGCCAGCCGTCGAATCGAATCGGAGAAGTTTGTGATCAGATTCCTCGCGGGAACTGACCAGTCGAAGGAGGGACTTCCGGAAGGGTTGCCGGGAAATATCGCGATTCCCGTCAGGACCCCGGACTCGTATTGCATCCCAGGCGGAATTCCGGGCACGAAATTGTTCCAGCATCACTCGGAAGCCCGGAAATTCTCCTCCGCGCGAATTTATTCGAATCGGCGCGGGTTTCCTGCGAGCCAGCCTTTAAATTCTCGGGAATCGAACAGTGACAGGCGGAAAATTGGAAAAACCCGCGAGAAAAGGGGGGACGAATGAGGTGCCCTGGAAATTTCCGCACGTGTTGCCCGTGGCTGCGCGCGCAATTAGACGCAGACCGCGGGGATCCCTCGGAGTAGTTCCGGTCTGTCCCTTTTCTCCCTAATGAGACGGAATTCCGCGAATCGAGCGAATTTCCTGCGAATCCCACGGTCAAGCACGGCAACTTGCGAGGGAATTTCCTGCCGACGGAATTTGCGGAAAGCATGAGGATGATGATTGAGAGAACGAGAGACAGTGGCGCAGCGATCGACGAGTGAGTTTGTGTGTCTTGTGGGAAATTTCAATTGGGAAGCCTGGAAGCTACTTCCGGGGGGAAAAAAACGAACGCAGGGTGATTTTGCTTTTCTGGAGTGAATGAATGAATGAACAGAACACTTTATTTGTCGCTTTTCAGCATTCACAAGGTTCAATCCAGATTTCCACAACCAAACCCCCTTCCCACCCAACCCAAATCTACTCAATGACATTTAATCACTTCAGAGCAGGAAACTGCTTGTTTCTGTATGAGGTTTAGTTGAATGAAAAAATTAGAGATAATCTTTGATGAGAAATCATATAAGGCCAACAGTTTATCTTGATCCTTTAAATTTCAGAAAGGGTATATTCATTGAATTCTAGTATTTGTAAATCTTTCTTAAGCTTGTTTCTATCAGTATGAAATGATGGACATAAGGCTGCGACAAGAATTTCAAGTACTACAACTACATTATCTAAGTTAGTGGTTGAAATATTTGTTGTTGACCCTTCCCTTTGTGTGGCTGAGATGAAGTAAGTTGGTGCGGACTCGGGTCTCGAAAGCGTTGTAGCTTTTTTCAAGGATTGGTCAAATACAGTATTTCAAAAACATTCATACATTTTTGAGAAGAAATGACGCGCAGAATATTATATGACTCTCACTTATCTGCAGTAGGGTGTTAGGGAAACGGAGGATCCTTCATTTAACATCACCTGAGCACTGAAATATGACTGATACTTGGTGCAATATTTTATGAAAACCGCGATACACTGAAACTAAGATCATCGACACATTCTTCTATCGATTTGGCTCGACTCAGGTGGTTTTTAAATTTTTTTTAAATCTGGGGATAGAATATCGTCACAGAAGATGTCTAGGGAGGCCGAAGATTCGTTACAAATAGCAAAAAACGTTGCTTTGATAGACCCATTTCTAAATTTTCAAGAAATGTTGTGCATTGTGTAAAAACACTAGAGACCATATTTTCTCCAAATTAGTTCACCACTTTCTGAAATGCCAGCATTTTTTCCACTCAAAATTATTTTTCAACATTCAAAATCAATCAGAATTTTCAGCTGCTTATTGTTTTTGGACTTCAGTTGATTTCTTGAAAAGTTATGCAGATTAATTTATATAATTCCATCAACAAAAATTCACTCATGCAGTTATGCAGGTACAACTTGAACTGTATAAGTAAAAATGCAGCAACAAGTTTGCAGAGGTAAAAAAAACAATTTATTCTAAGTTTTGAATGCCTTGAACTTGATGTTAGACGAATAGAATGGTTTCAACCACCCCAGAAATGAATGAATTACCTAACTTACTTTAAAGCACTTTTTGTGCATTTTTTCCATTGTGGCCCGCAAACTGCTCTACTGTTTCAATGTGGCCCTTGACCACTTCTGAGTTGGGCACCACTGCTCTAAAGTTTCTCCAGTATAAAGTAATTTTATTGCTACTATAAGCAAGTTAAAAATTGCAGAAAATTCATCCATTAAACGCCATTCTTTGTGCTGGTGAAATCGTACGAGATTTATTCAGCTTTCCTTTCATTTAGTTTTAGGCGGGACCTTTGAAAATTTGTTCTGAAAAGTCGTTTAAAACAGAATGTGGCCTTCATTGAAAAAAAAGATCATTAAATGAATCAATAGCTAGATGTCGAATTTTTGGGAACATGCAGGAAGTGATCTGCATGTTTGGTATATTATGTTGTAGGCGACTTAACTTAGTCAGCAGCAAAGCATTAAAATCCTCTTAAACTCAAAGGCTTTTCCTCTCAAACCTCGTTTTCTTGACACAGGAAAGAGGAAAGCAATAAAAAAAGTAGCTTGATGTGTTTTGAAAGGAAGTGGAAGTTTCATTGAGCACATAAATGTATGCTTGAACGAGTGCAGCATGCTGAACTTGTATTAGGCAAGGGTTTAAGGCCCAGCATATCGCAATTTACAATTTCCCGCAATTCTTCTACATTTCCCACAGCGAAAATGTTCGTTCCTAAACTAAAAACATTCCTAATTCGACACCCCGTTAGTTGCATTTTTTTTCTGGTACTGCACCTTAAAATCTGACTTGGAGAGGTTCAACTGACGGTTTAATTTAGAAAACGTGAATGATCTGCAAGCCGAATTTACGATGGACTTTTGCTTCTTTTTTTGCAAGCCAAAACAGTCGGAAGAATTCGTCCTGCAGTATTCGCTCTTATGTTGCATATCAATCACGCATTACTTCACACACAAAATTTGCTCCTGGAGTTTCGATATATATGCCATCAATGAAATGAGCCTCTGCGGGGAAATTCCATTTTCCTCTTTTTTTTTGCCAATACCGGGGATAATTTATCGGCTCCTGATGAGAAATCGAAGCGGGCCTGGTCAGGACTAACCGTGATGGAACACTTGTAGCCTCGGGCGCCAGAAAAGGTCGCCTTCACCCAGTTCTCCATTCATTCCATTTTCCGAGGCACCCGACTGATACGGCGTACATTGCCGACGGAAAGCCTCGCTGACGCACGCGGGTTTGATAAATTTCTCCAGTTCGTGACAGGTCCTGTGCGTCACGTGGGAGGGGTACAAAATGAGAACGAATGGGGCTACAGAGATCTCGCTGATGCCGTATACACCAGCACGCTGAAATAAAAAAAAAATGCTTCTCCGCAGGTATCTGGGGTACTTCCAGCAGTATTCCGAGTATGACCCGTTCTTGACGCCCGTGGAGCCGCCGAATCCCTGGATCACCGACTCGACGGAATACTGGGACCAGGAGAAATTGACGTGAGTTTATCCCCGCGCGCTTAATGACACGCTGATTTTCGTCGAGTCGAGTGGTGATTTTCCTTGTCTCTCATCAGGGAGAACCTGTCGGCGAAGCGCGTGCGGCGCTGGGCTTTCAGCATTTACGAGCTTCTCAAAGACCCCGCCGGGAAGGAGCACTTCATCAAGTTCCTGGGCAAAGAGTTCAGCGACGAGAATCTCCGGTGAGTGTGCACTCGTCTTCATCTTCGCGAAAGTCTGCTGCTGCTGCATGCGATTCGAATGCCGCGGACAGGCTCAGGATTTATACAGCGGGTTCCCCGCATGTGGACGATTCGACTTAGGGGCACTTGAAACAACAACAACAACAAAACACGTATGCCCCCACATCTGGACAATGTTTCGAGATACAGACAACTTATCAACATCTCTAGAAAAATCTGATGTTTCCAAATTATGGTATCTCTCAAACGAATAAAGCCGTTTATATATCCATAGGAAATTTGAAAATAAATTCATTATAAATTTGCTCCGATTCATAATGAAAAGTAGGTTAATTTTGTGTGTATTTTTTCGGAGTTTTACATTTTTCTGAATTGTGATATCTATTGAAAAATTGAGCAATTGTATGTTCAAATATTAAATGCGAATAAATTTTATTTTAAAATGAACCCAAGTCTTAATCAACCAGACATACAGGATTTACGGTGGGTTCCCCGCATGTGGACGATTCGACTTAGGGGCACTTGAAACAACAACAACAAAAACATCTGTCCCGACATCTGGACAATGTTTCGAGATACAGACAGCTTATCAACATCTATAGAAAAATCTGATGTTTCCAAATTCGAGTTTCTCTTGAAATAATAAAGCCGTTTATATCCCCTAAAATTGAAAATAAATTCATTATAAATTTGCTCCGATTCATAATGAAAAGCAGGTTAATTTTTTGTGTAATTTTTTTTCGGAGTTTTCAATTTTTCTGAATTCTGATATCTATTGAAAAATTGAGCAATTGTATGTTAAAAAATTAAATGCAGATAAATTTTATTTTAAAATGAACCCAAGTCTTAATCAACCAGACATACAGGATTTACGGTGGGTTCCCCGCATGTGAACGATTCGACTTAGGGGCTCTTGAAACAACAATAACAAAACACGTATGCCCCGACATCTGGACAATGTTTCGAGATACAGACAGCTTATCAACATCTCTAGTTTTTAGACTACAAAGGTTTAAGACCATATAGAACTTGCTTATCTCGGCATATATAAAACTTTTATTTAAGTAATATTTAAACGGGGCTAAGTATTACTTTTCGACCAATTTAAAAACGCATTAAAATTTCAGAGTTTTCCATTTTTCTGAATTGTGATATCTATTGAAAAATTGAGCAATTGTATGTTCAAAAATTAAATGCAAATAAATTATAATTTAAAATGAACCCAAGTCTTAATCAACCAGACATACAAACGCCCCAAACGTTCGAACAATTTGACTTATAATAAGGGGCACTTGAAACTATAAAAAATCTGCTAAGAAATCTGGACGATTCCTCAAGATATGGACAGTTTTCCAACATTTATGAAAGATCGAGAAATGTCCTTTTTCTAAATTTTTATATCCAATAAACAAATTGAGATTTTCATATTTGAAAAAAAAAAATTTATCCCCAAGATGTTGACAATTCGACTGAGGGACGCTTCAAACAAAATATATCTGCCCGGACATCTGGAAAATTTCTCGAGATATGGACACTTCCAATATCTCTGGATGAATTTTATTTTCAAACACTCTGATGATATCTGCCAAAAAAAATTGAGCAATTTTTGCTCCAAAAAATTAAAAAATAAAATTCATTTAAAATTAACCCAGTTCATCATCAACCAGACATACGCACGCCCCAACACACGGACAACCAAAAAAATCTGCCCCGACATCTGGACAATGACTTGAGATACGGACATTTTAACACCTCTGAAAAAATTTAAAATTTACTTTTCTACATTCTGATGTCTCGTGAACAAATTGAGCCATTTTTATTCGCAAAAATTGAAAGATAAATTTCATTACGAAATACTGCAATTCTTAGTAAAACAAACAGGCAAATATTTGTGCTTATTTTTTTCAGTTTTTCCCCATTATGTATGCACAGTATAGACTTGTCGTAATCCAATACAAACAGAACATTCTTAAGATGAGCCCCATTTTGATGCACATTTTTTTTGGATAGTACGGCAATTTTTTGGGCATCGTGATTCATGAAAAATGTCTTGACTTCTGATACGTAATTTTATAGCAAGCTGTTGCATTGAAAAGCTCAAAAAACATTTCAAATTGTATGTGACAACATTTTTTTATGTCAAGATTGCAACAATCGAAGGACACTTCGCGAAAAAAATTCTTATTCGGGAAATACGGCATCTCAGTTTCTGCAAATTGGAATTAAGTGGCGGGATAAAGACATGTATTGTACATGAAAAAATGTGTGGTTATTTTCTCATGAACGCTTTTTTTTTCTTGTTGATCAAATTCGAATTACCATTAGCTGGAGCCATGCAATTAATTAAACTGTCATGGGATAAAGTAACCGAATGAAGTTACATTTTCAAGTAGTTGATTGAAGCAGTGTTCCACAGTTTTCTTTCAATAAGACTTCTGACAAATTTTTATATGTTGAAATAGCTTATTTTAATTTTTAATTCTGAGAAACCTTTCTTCAAGCCCTAGTTTCTAATTTTTTATGGCATCCCACTATACCTGCTTCATTAGTTCTCAACTTACGTTTTTCAAAAAAGCAGAAACTTTTAAATTACTGACATCAAGTCTTTCAAACAAAACTTTTTTGAGTCTGCAAAAATTTCATGAAACTTTGCTAGTTTGCTTAAAAATCTTTTGAAATTTGCTAGTCCAAGAAAATTTTTAAGGAAATTTTCCGGCCCCCGGTACCAAAAAGGTTGGGTAACACTGACTCAAAGCTTTTCATGTGGTATCAGGTTCAAAGGTCACCTTTTCCCAGACCCGCCATGTTGAGTCACAGGCATCAGGAAAGAACTGTGGACTACACTAGGCCTGGGGGACAACAATGACTCTGAAGACATTATTTCATCATGCGAACGTAATGTAATCCATCCCCGGAATTCTCTCTGGGTCTATCGAAGCAGCATCAGCCCTTCCATTTCTTCCTGCGAACACCCATCACAGAAACAATTTAGTAAAGGGCAAAAAAGTACAGTGGTGTAATTTTTTGTACAGTAGTTACCTTCCGCATCTGCGAGCCTGAAATACGTGGCGGAAACATTAGTAGGGTTTATGGGGAAAGGTAAACTTTCAGCGCTACGGATTTCGAATCGTGCAATTGTTTTCGGTGAATTACAGAATCCGTTTTGTTATCAAACTGAATTTTTATTCAAATAGTGTACCCTTCGTCGAAGACGAGCTCGGGTGTAACCTAAAAGCGGAGGAACACATTTTTCACTCCTAGAAATCGGAGATCGCACCATTTTCCTTATTGAAAGAAGTAGCTTTTATGCTGAAAATTCATTTTATACGAAAACAGGATACAATACTCATATAACTATGCTCGTGAAAAGCCTTCCGGGGCTAGGAATTTTGCCATAGGTGATACAGCTCAACGTTGATAATAAAATTTTGCTAAATTGAACGTTTGCTCGAGAAAGTTGAAATAACATATTCAAGCGAATTTCACGCGCTCAAAATTTTTTTTATTTTTATAAATGCATTAAAAAGCCTTTTTCTGTGTGAGATTTGCACTCCAGTTTTGTTGCTGTGGCTGAAAATCGAGAATTGTGAAACTGTTTTCGTGTGTGGATCAATTTTTCCCGGCGGCTGATATTTTGTCCTTTTTTTTTTTGCTGTCAGCGGTATCAGTGAAAATGTACTTGCTAATGCAATTTCTGGCAGCTTCCTTAATAAGATGAATATTTCCCACTTCCTTCACTTCATGTTGCATTTCCGACTGATATGCCGTATTTACTCAAGTACAGCGCATCCTATAAGTAGTATGACACGCAACTTATTTTTTGGGCTTGAAATTTGCCCAGAAATGTATACCCCATAAGGAACATACCTCAGTTTTACGTGGTTGAAAATTGGATTTTTATTTGAAATTATAACGTTGAACAAAATAATACCATAAATAATTATTAGAAGGTACATTATTTTAACTGAATTTTAACCAAGCAAAATCCGTTGTTCATTACTTGCACCAACAAAGTACAGTACAGTACAGTACAGTAATCTTACGGTTCCCATCACTAATTTCCCAATTCTTTGCTCCAGAAATTTTATACCTGCATACTACAAGGACACCACTTTTCCGCCTTAATTTTTTTGGAAACCGGTGAACATGGTACCAGAGTAGGTATGGTATTCCTATAATTGTTACTGTTTGAACCATTATCTCCCATGGACAAGGAGACTTGGTGCCACACATTTCCTCTTCATGTTTTGTTCATTAGATGTACTGTGCCCACATGTGTGTGAAGGGGCACTGGTTTTGTGTATTTTCTTCTTCAAAATGCATCCTTGGGCGCACACACGCGCACACTATTTTTTCGCCGCAACTTTTGTTAAATAAAACTATTGAAGAAAAGGGTGCGCGTGTATAGCAGCACTCAAGTCCAGTGAAGACGGTTTTATCGAAAGAATCCGTTGGAAACGTGTCCCCTGTGGATTACAAGTGATCGCTGTACAAAGAACCCTTTTCTGCAATAGGTTCTGGGACGAAGTGCAAACGCTTAAGACACTGCCTGCGAAAGACGTCGCTTCCCGCTGCGAAAGGATCTGGAATGAATATTTGACGGACGACGCCACGTCCACCATCAATATCGACGCCAGATCCCTGAAGGCGACCAAAGAGAAACTGCTCAAACCAGACCGATGGAGCTTTGATGACGCTGCGGTGAGTTTCAATTTCTATGCAGCTTGTTTATTTTTTTTTGTGTCAAGAGTATAGTACAATGGAGCCTTGGAATGCGACTGATTCTACTTACAGACACTCCAGAATACTAATTTTTGGTCATAATAACAACTACAATGTACAACGCTTTCTGTACAACCCTTTTAAGCTAATTTATTTCTGCAACGCTTGGCTGCGCCTGGTGCACTAGCAATTATATTTCACAATCCAGTTGTTGGGGGAATACTTTCCCAACCATGCTCACACATCCTTCCTTTTAAAGAAACAAAGTATGATGACCTCAATCCAAATTGGTTCCTATATGCGTTCCCTGACTTTGGCTGGTCAAAGCTATATATACAGGTGCATTTTGTGTTGTGTTAAGTTTACCGCACCTGACTCTGACCAGACACCTTGTTGATGTTGCTTTGCTCCACAACAGTTGTATTTGTATCTACTGTGTGAAGGATAAAATAAAACCCATTTGATATACTTTCCCGGAGTAACTTTTGCGTTTCCTTTGGAAGTCACGGAAAATGATTTCAACCTCTGACTCTAAGTCTTAACTATAACAATAAGGCAAGACAGTGATTGATCACCACAGTTGCTTTAATTGTTCTAATACTTTCTTGGACAACAAACTTTTGCCCCAACATCCTGGCATTTTCTCGAGAAATGGACACCAGTTATCTCAGAGAAATTTAATTTATCAAAAATTTTATACTGCATTTCTGTTTGATTGATTATAAATATGCTTTATTTTCTGCTTGTCAACATTCACGAGGTTCAAACCTCCCCCTCCCCCTGCACACACACGCACACACCCACATCCCTTTTAAAAATGAGAATAAAAGCCAAAAAGAACAAAATATCCCTCACAGTACATACAGATGCTTATACTCTTTGATTTGGTATTTTTTGGCAAAAATGTACAATGCCCAGTAATGAGTGATCCCAAAAGCACAAGATATATTAAGCCTGTTCCCGGATAATTAGCAATTGATGGAACAATTTACAGATATTTTTTTAAAGGAGAAATTCATGTAGGGCTGACAATTTTTCCTGGTCCTTCAGGAAGATTTCAGGGAGAACCTTTTTGTTAAATTGTGAGATATCTTGGAACAAGTTGAGTTCTTTCTACGCAAATACTGTAATCCAAACTGTTCTATCAGAAATGTTCTGAACTTAAATTCATAATCCAAAGCAGGCTAATTTTGTGTGTCTCTTTTTAGGGTTCCTTTTCATAAACTGTGTAAAGTACAAGTTTATTTTTGTGCCAAAAACAGGCAGATTCTACGTACAATATCTCTCTTCTATACTGTTATTTTCTGTACAGTATCTTGAATTTAAAAAAAGAATTTATTCAATTTTTCGGAAATATTTCCAAATTTTCGACGAACAGGAGAACTAATGAAATACTGTACTGTTGTCATTGGAGTCACTGGGAAAACATGATCCAAAATGCGGAAAAGAGACACTTTCCATGAAACAATAACTTCCGTTCCCGCTGTACCTCTTCCAAAATGTTCCCATTTAATGCGAACAAGCCTTGCATTCGAGTTCGTCGATTCGATAGTCATTGAAAATGTGAGGCAAAATTAATTATGCCTAACCTGTCTTTGTCGCAGGGACGGTTCTCTCACGTCACGTAATTTTTGGATTAGCAACGAGTTAGGTCAAGTGATCGGTTGTGAAGGGTCACATTCCTGCTTTGAATAATTTGAGACGTTGTTACGATGACGTCGTAAATTATTCCCCCGGCTCTTTCTCGCGTACGAATTCGAAAGGAAATGCCGTGTAATAGTGCATTCAGTAAATATTTGGGCCTTGAACATGTTTCTTGAATGTCAGTATTTTTTCGTGCGGCATCAATCACTTAGCTGTCCATAGTTGACGGCGAATAAAATAGGCAGGCGCTTTTGGTTGATCAATTGATGATCATCAGCACACACACAGGCAAAATGTGATTTCAGAAGGGATCCCGGGTTGATTGTCACATTTGATGTTCACTGCCTGTGAAAAGCGTAATAACCTTCCGTTTTTTTCATTTGACAGGGCCACGTTTTCCACTTGATGAGGAGTGATACCTACTCGAGATACCTTCGTTCGGATATGTACAAGGAGTTTCTGGCTGGTTGCAAGAAAAAGGTCAGTCCCATGGAACAGCAATAGCGCCGCCAGCTACTTAAGTCCTGCGCTTGGGCCAAAGCTTATAGCGAAGGCGAAAGCCCTGGACTACCCCCTTAATAGACTTATGTCGCTTTTTTAGTAGACAAGCAATTACGCGGCATGAATCATCATTTGCTGGCCAGAGCCTGATGAATGTTTTCCTGGACTGCTTTCATTAGGTGCATTATCGGTTATGTAGTTAATGTACTTCGTCCATTACGCTTCAGTCAACTGTCTGAATGCGGGTAAATGTCACTGATGGTTGGTCTAACTTGAGTCATTCGATATTCCATCTACTTTTCTGGGTGGGGAGAAGGATCGGGGTATACGTGAAGCGAAGTGGGGTCTTGATTGTTGAGAAGCAGGTATCTGGAAAGCTTCATTCATGTTTCTCGGAAAAGTCAGAAAACAACTTCTGGAAAGCGTCGTCCTCACTTTTGAAGGAAAGCGGTTTTGCCTCATTTTCCGCCCGAAATATGAGATGCACTCGATGTTAATAATTCATTCCATGTCATCTGAGATATTTTCTATGCGTAAAATACTGTTTCTGTATTTCTTTTGTACATCTCAAGGCAAAGTAGGTTGCTGAATTATACATAAGGCAAAAGTCGTTGACCCTTTAATCAGTTATTGTTTGGTCGCATTCAAGTTGATAAAGATGTGCGGGCATTATTTTGGGTACCCATTGTAAGACTGGTCATTGCTCTTTTTTTGCAGGAAATTCATATTTCAACTAGCTTTTCTTCAAAAAGTGGACTGTGTTGTGTATCACCCCTGCAATAAAAAGAAGTACAGTGAGACCCCCACATGCGGACGCCTCGAAATGGGGACATTTATTTTTCAACAAGAAAATCATAAAAAAGACCCAACATGAGGACACTGACTCAACCTGGGGACATTGCAGGATAAAATTCCAAAATAAATTTTTGGAAAATCAATTTTCATAAGGCTTAATTGCAAGAAACAGATGTTTCAAACCTAAGATCTATGCAAGAAAAATTCTTACACCAATTAAAAATTATACAATGTAAGTCTATGGGAAAACAAGATTTGACTTGGGGACAATCCGACAAAGGGACACTCTTGATGCACCAATTATGTCCGCATCTGGGGGTCTAACTGTATTCCCCTCTCAGTAAAAGAGTTTATTCTATCATTTGGCTCTAATCAATTTTTTGGAAGTGGGAAGACTTTCTTGAAGGGAAGAGTTTATTTCACAAAATAGCTTTCAGAGTCAACTTGGATAACATCCGTAGTATGCCTTCAGCTTATCTTGATTAATGTATGACTCTTGTTGCCAATGGGTGATTCCGTCTGCTAATGAAAAGCAAAGTTGAACCAAGTGTTCCCTGAACTAAATTTCTCACTTTGACTGACTTTTGTGATATGACCTTGTATTGCGACCTGGATGACATTGGACCACAGTTGTGTACATTGGTGCCGCACATATTTTATTCAAGGGAATTTTCTAAAATAACTCAATCCATTTGCCTTGGTGCTAGGCTGTGTATAAATCTGGTGATCTGCAATACAAATTACTATGACCAAACTGGATCTTTTGAAAGAGGAGTTCGCTTTCAATACAAATTGGGTTATAGACAAAGATCAGCATCACAATTTTCAAGTTATTGAGGAATTTGACAAAATCCCTATCTTGCTCTCCAATTAAGGTACAGTAAGGAACAGGCGCTTTCATTTAGTGGCGAAATTTCCAAGACTGAACAAGAAAACTACAGTACTCATTTCAAAACCAATGTACAATGTCTCTATTTCCAAATTCTTCAATTAGTTAGTTGATCTCTACTCTTGAATATTCTTGCTTGATCCTGAAGACCCGGTGTGAATGTTGTAACAGTAGATATCCTTATCAAAGGGTTTATTCCTCCAGTACATGAAAATCTCATATTTTAACACATAGTTATGTATCCACCTCCTCTTCTAAGCATTACTGTGTGGTCACATCTAAAGTCCTTGATTTAGGTGCTCTTGCATTAGTTAGTCATGATTCCTGGACAAATTGCACAGCAACAAGTGGCACAACAACAACTCAAATACAGGTGGTCCCTCGCAATTCAACCCTAATCTGTTGTCAAACTTGGGTCAAATTGAAAATCGGTCAAATTGCAAGGCACTCCGTGAAATTTAAAAATATAAGTATAAAAGTGCAAAAATAATGGAAAAAGGAGGTCAAACTGTCAGGCTAGGGTGGAATTGCAGGTCAACCTCCCTGAAAGTGTGACTGTCAAATTGTGGGAGGTCAAATTGCGAGGTACAACCTGTAGCAACAAGTTGCGCAGTGTGACAACTGGTACAGCAAAAACTTGCATATTGCAAAAACTCACACTTTCAAATTTTTTTTTACTACCATCTTCTTATTTAAATTGAATCTCTGATTTGGCAACCAGTCAATCAAACTGTGTTTGATTTTGACTTCAACATTTTAACATTTTCGTGAGATTCTATTCAAATAATAAAAAAAGGTAGTAAAGTTAAAAATGAAAACTGCGAGTTGTCCCGTAACTGTTAGTATGATCATCATATGCGGCAAGCTACAGTCAAAATCAAGCAGATCAAATGGTTTTCCTGAGGTGCATTTCGTCCTATCAATTATCATCGTGGAATAGAGCCTATAGATAGTCAAGAGTTCGTCCATTTGATCAAGGAGTGATGTAATCTTTTGAGGAAGGCCATGTTTAGAAACTTGTAGCGACTTTTCAAAAAAGACGGAATTTATCTCCAGGTCTCATGCGTCTGTTGGCATTATCACGTTTCCGTTCAGCAGTTTCCTGTTGAAATGACTGAGAAAAGGAGCGGACAAAGTTACGTGATCCAATATAGAACCTGATTTGGTCTGAAATTCCCGTGAAATGCAAAAGTTTGAATTACAAAGGTTTGAAATTCAAGCTACGGTACTAGCTTTCTCCTTCGAGACACTAATTACAGTGAGACCCCAAGATGCGGACATTATTGGTGCATCAAGAGTGTCCCTAAGGTGAGTCTCATTTTCCCTTAGACTTACATTATATAGTTTTTAATTGGTGTTTCATCTACAAAATACTCACCATAATTCCATGAAAATAAAAATTGTCTCTCAATTTAAACAGATTTCAATCAATATATTTCAACACAATATGGGCATTTGGGGAATTGAATACTGATACCTTGGTACAGTACAAAGAAATGTTGGCATTCTCTGTAAAAATAATATTTGAGTGAAAATGAGTGAAGGAAGTCCCTCTCTACAGGAGGTTATTTTTTTCAATTAGCTAAATGGATGGTAAATTGGTGAGAGAAATGCTCAAGAACTTTTCTTACATCAATTTTAGGGTTGGAAATATCTGTCTCTTGTATTTTGGCCTGAAATGTATTTGCTATTTAATAACAGAATGTCCCTATGTCAAGTCAGTGTCCTCAAGTAGGGCCTTTTCAATGAATTTTTCATGATAAAATAAGTGTTCCTATGTCGAATTGTCCGTAGGTCAAGGTGTCCGCATGTGGGGGTCTCACTGTATAAAGCTCATTTTATGAAGATGCTTCAACAAAAGAAAAGTATTGAAAAGTACTATTCAAGAAAAGAAGAACAAGAAGAAGATACTAAGAAAAGTATCTATTGCAATATTTGAGCTGCGGTATTATGAACTGCCTTGTGAAATTTTTTTCTCCTTTGCCCCAAGACGTTTCTCAATTTATGGAAAGTGATGTTCAAGACATGAAATGTAAATTAGAACATAGCATATATGTATTATGCCGTCGAATCTCTTCAAGTCAACCTCCGACACGGGGTATTGCAAAAATTTCGACTTGGGGAATTTTAGGTTGGGGAAAGTAGGATTTTTGTTGGAGAAAAATTGGATTCATTCAACTCCTCAATTTTTGCCAAAAAAAAGTTCCTTTCAGGTTTTCACGTTATACTGGCTATATAATTGGGTGTGATAGATTTATTGTGGAGAGTTGTCCAAAACAATTCTTCAATGATCATTGAATCCCTTTCTATTGCGGAAACCAGAAAACTAGCGTGTAAAGCGTTATTCTTAAAGGTTCGAAAAAAAATCGACTTGGGGAATTTCAAGTTAGGGAAACTAGCATTTTTGTTTTAAAAAAAATTTATCTACACCGAACTCTTCTACTACATCAATTTTTCACCCAAAAATTATTCTCCTGAGGATTTCATGATGCATTGGATATATTTAATGCGGAAGATAGTCTAAAATAAACTTCTTCCTGCAGAAACCAGAAAATGCATGGAAAACGTACATACGAGGGTTGTCCCGGTTGAACGCAACCTCTGATATTTTTAGAATAGGTCTGAAGGTGCAATTGTAAGAAGCCATCATGACATATCCCTCGATGTTGTGAAGGTTCTGGGATTTACCGAATTTAAAAAAGTTTTTCAATTCACTGCATGATGATCAATAAAAAGTTTCCGATCATGTAGAGTTCTCCACCCACGACACAGGGTGCTAAAAATCTGTCAGACTAGCTAAAAATTGATTTTTTTGTCGTTGTTTTACCCATTGCCTAATTAGCAAAGACAATCGATAAACAAACAGACGCATTTAAACTTCTTGGCTGGCATAAAAAACTTTTTAGCACCCTGTGACACGGGTGGAGAACTCTACATGATTGGAAACTTTTTATCGATCATCATGCAGTGAATTGAAAAACGTTTTGAAAAATCAGAAAAAAAATCCTAAAACCTTTTAGAACAACATGGGCTGTGTCGGAAATTTTCCCGCACTCACTTAGGTCGCGTCCACGTGGGACAACCCTCGTATGTTCCGGTAACCGGCAATTTTCTACTGCTCTGGAAACTTGGCTAATTTTCAAACTTTCCGAATAAAGGAAGACGTGTCGCACAAGAAAAAATAAAGAATGAGGGTTAGAAATTGTTTGGACAGAATTCGGAGTGGAAATGAACGTCATGCTGGAAGGGCTCCGGGCTCAAGCTGACTCCGGAAGCTATTTGCAAGATTGATGCA